CGTTCAAAACGGCCATGGATCCTGTTCGTCACCCGATCTGGCGTTCGCGAACGGAAACAAAATTTTGCGAACGGAGCTGTTCGTGACCCGAATTGGTCGTGAACAGAAGCATTCGTAACCCGAGGTACCACTGTATATGAATTAAGTTTAAGAAAGATTATAACTAATGGATAAAAAATTCATTTGGAAAAAAGATAGTAAGATATTGGAGATATAACATTCTGAAATAGATCTGTGAATTATGGGCTTTGCAGGATTCAATTAATGTAGCACTGAATAAGTCTATGCATGCTTAGTGATGGTTTTGCTCCAGATGCTTCTACTGGGATCTACTTATACAGTATGACAGTTTTCCCAAACTGATTGTTTCCAAATGTACTTGAACTATCCAAATTTACTGTTAGCATGATTGTTAAATTCCTCATGGTCATGTTATTTTGGGAGTCTTGTATATATAATCTTCATATATTTTGGGAACTGTCATGTTGAAGATGATGGCTGTATGGGAGGTTTTCCCCTTCTCTTCAGAAATGTTACAAATTGCCCATGCTGGAATCATTCTCACCAATATAAAAACAAAACTAAACAAACTGTAAGCCATTACTGAGTTTCACTCATACTCAGGACCTGGCACTGCCATGCAGAGAACATGGAGGCTCCTCTTCTCTCAAAGTTGTTTATGTAGTTACATTTTTACCAAGAGGAATGATGAGCTGATATACAATCTGTGGCTTGTTTCTTCTGTAGGTGTTTTGGAGCTGTGCTCTCTACAGAAACTTTTCCTATCATGCATTTACTCTCTGCTATTGGCATACAGCGTGTTCTATATTGCATTGCTTCTTAGTAGATACAAGTTATTGTTTCATCTTGCTGGAGAAGACAACTCACAGTGCTGCTTAGGCTACTTAACAAGCAAACAAAAAAGTTAATCCCTTAAAGTTGATTCCATTATTTAATATCTTTCTAGAACTTAATTACTTGATTCCAAGACCATTCTGAACATCCCCTATTTCACACTAAATAATAGTAAAATATATTTTCTAGCCGTCTCCCAATGATCTATTTCAAAGAAAAAGAAGTAGTAGTTCCAATAGTTCTGTTTTTGTACCGTTGACTTCCCTTTTAAAAAAAAATACCAGTTTTTTTGAATACTCACACAAATTTTATGTAGTCAGAGGTCACATGAAGAAGAAGAATGTGACAGTTTGGAGCTACACAGACAAACAGATTTGGTTACATTATGAGGCCATGAAAATAAATGGGAGTGAACTTAATACTTCTTAGATAGTCACGGACTGTAACTTATTGGAATTAAGTGAATGAATGGGATGGTGACAAAATGATATATAGATACGATGTGATATGTGATGACATCACTAAGACAGAACAAGTCCTTTCAAACTGACTACAGTATTTTCTGAATACACTTTTCAAACACTCATGGAGTACTAGTGAGTAGCAAAGTGGCTTTTAATATCTAATGGGAGTAAAAGAATTTTTCAACTCTATTTAATCCTTTAATCCTTTTTACTGGGAGGAGGTTCACCTGAGAAATATAGTGTAGGAAGATACAGAACATTTTTATGGGCTTGTTTTAAACTCATTAGATAATGTCATGAACACAAACGGTGCACTGTTCCATGACAAGTTAAATATAGTAACTGTAATAACAGTGCTTATAATTATTCCTGTAAAGGGACTGAGAAAGAAAGATGACCATTTTCTATTTCTTTATTCTTTCTCCTCTTTCTCTTCTTTTGAGGGTAAAAATAGGAATTTACTTGGAACTGAATTATTATTAAATATGGTACACATTCTTATATCCTAAAATAGTTGCAAAGCAAAATTTGGTGGCTTTTTTTTTTTTTCATGAAAGTTGGAATGGAAATTATGACAGCTCCCAAGGCAATAGCACCAGATTGGGGTAATCTGCATTCCGTTCATGTTTTTTTCAGAAATAAATGCATCAGAAGTGTTGTGTTTCCAAATATTCATGCAAATGGTTTCAGATAGCCACATGCACAGCATATCCACATGAAATCACTCAAGAATATAAACATTTAGTGCTACTTAAACTTGACAAGCAGTGAAATGTATCATATTTTGCTCAACCAAACAGCATTTAATTAATTTTGTTTTTCTTAATTGGTTTTGTCTCAAATTGCTTACTTAGAGAAGTTGGTTTAACTTATTAACCTCAATTAGATTCTGAATATGTAATTAAGTTATAATAAACTGTCTCTTGTTACTGTAGTGGTATAATGAGAGCAGAAGGCTATATAGTGAGAACTATGTAGGAAAATGATGTTCTCATAAACAGGAACATAGCCTTAAATTAGTATGCATGTGGATAAGAGATGATAGTTGCCTATGTTCTAATGTATTTCAGTTCTTCTTTGGTGATCACTGTCAGTGTTCCTCATTTGTTACAGGTGACTGGTATGAACAACTGTATCCTCTCACAGTTACGCTGAATGACTGTATTGGAGAAGTGGTGACTAGGGCAAAGCAGTCAATGTCTTTTGTTCTGCTTCAGGAGCTTGCATGTTGTTTGCCACAGTGTTTAATGTTGACACTAAGAAGAGATATAGTCTTCAGTCAAGCAGTAGGTGTTTTTATTTCACAATCCTTTGTTTTTGTTGAAGAATAATAGATGTAAATCATGTCACTTTTAATTGAACCAACTTTAAGGAGGGTAAAGAAATATCTTCATACTCTGGAGCATCCTTCTTCAACCTGGTTTAATCTCATTGTGTTGAACTACAACTCCCATCATCTCCAGTCGGCAAGTTATTTGGAAATGTTGAAAATTGTAGTGCAACACATCGAAGAGCTCAGCCTGGTAAATGATATGTTCCTTCTGTCTCTCCATTGACAGTTCACTGGGCTTCTTGACATGAGGTACTAAAGGATGCAACCCTGACTGCCTGCTTATGAGCTGTACTCATAATACCCACCTCATTGGAAGGGTATTATACTGGCAAAATGCTACTCAGGGTGGAGTGCTTACCACATATTTCAGATATTCAGATACAATATTGGTATTTATTGTAACGTGCTCTTTTTTGTCAGTCCATCTGAAGCCATCACTCAAGTCTTTGATGGATTTCTCTAGCCATGTTCTGCAATACTGAACAGTGCCAGCTTATTTACCTCAACAAGTCTTTTTAATTCCTCTCAGAATGATTTATAAGCCAAATAAATAAATAAACAACAAACAAACAAACCATGCAAACAGATACTTAGAGACAACTGCAGAGGACGTTGTTCCAGTAAAATTGATCACCTCAACACTGTTAGAAAACATAGCCATATATAGGCATAATTTGTTTATAACATCAGTCAGGTTTTCAGCTCACTTGGCCTTCCTGAAAAGTTATAACAATTGCAAGCCACTTTTTCAATAATCGAATGTTGAATGGTCCTTATTAATGATGATCATAAAATAATTGTAAGCATTTAAAATGGATTTTATAATGATTAGTAGTATTCTACTAGCACTGCCTGTGCAGGGAACACTCTTTTCTCCATAGAGTCACAAATCCAAATGGCAGTTAAATAGTCTGGCTTTTCAGTCTGTCCCTGTCTCACAATAGTTGCGATCAGTTTTCAGCAACATAATTGAAACCTGACACTTCAGATTTTATAGAGCCTCTCATCTCACAGAAGTGATTCGTTGTTTAAAAATCACCTGTTAGTGCATTCCCACAGAAGTATCTTTTACTCTCACAGCAGGAGAAGTTTAGAGCCTGGCCAACAATAGCTTAAAGACAGCAACAACTGGAGTGGCACATAAGCCTAGTAGAAAGAAAGAAGTGCAAAGTGCAAAAAACAAAGAAGGCTATGTTTCCTTTTTTGTGTTTTGAGGATTGATTGCTATTTTAATGTAGTTATATATTATTATGTAGAATTTTTAAATGGGTAAAATTTTCTATGGTAAGTATTGAACTGATACTGAAAGCTATGACAGTCCTTGACAACAGAATAACAAAAAGAAAGGTAGAGTCAAGCTCAGCTCCTGGTGATGAGATAGAGAAATACATGTAGTATTTTTGGCAAGAATATACACTAATCAGGTCCAATATGGCTTGACCTTATTTATTTATTTCACCACATTAATGGCCACTGAACTCACAAACAGCAACTCTGGGCAGCTTGCTTATTTGTCTGATTGATTTATATCCCATCTTCATTTTATGGTTGAAAACAGAACAGCCAATAACAAAACATACAAAATACCAAAATATGGAATAACAAAGGCTAAAGCACAACGTAGTTCAAAGACATTTCAGAATGGATTCATCCAATGCCTTGGCCCAGTGCTCAGGAGATTTTCAGGGCCTTTCAGGCAGCCAACATGGTCAGAAACGTCCAAATCACAAATCTTTTTGAGATCAGCCAAGATCAGCTAGGTGCAAAGCGCACAATAGGGAAGAAAAGTAGGAAAGGAAAAGGAAAACAAGCCCTAGAGCAACATCTCCTTTTTTGTCTGATCCATGGGTCCAAGTTACTCTCAGTGTGATGAAATAGGATCCTTGGCTGACTGTTAAGGCTGCTTTGACTTTCCAAATCCAGTCTGTATACATATTTTTACATAAAACTAAGTTATGTCTGCTATGAGATGTTTTTTGCAGCTTTTTTTTTAAGCTGGAAAGAGGGAGGGGATTTGAGCAGATATATAATTACATATTTTAATACTATAGCCTAGGATTATAGAGGCTTCCCTGCAGCATTGAAAGCTCTGTAAGTTACATTGAGTCAGTCACCAGCTCTCAAAACAATCTAACTGATGGGGATATTGTGGGGGAAATTTGGAAGAGGAATGCCAGACCTGCACAATATATGGTCCACGGGCCACATGCAGCCTGCCAAGCAACCTTGTGCAACCCACCGGCATTTGTTAAAAAGTTGATAAAATATATCATACACTTTAACATTTGCTACAAATCATAGCCAAAAAGTACATATACATTCATGACCCTGACCAACACACTTGTACTGTTATTACAAGCATTTCTCCTACATGCAGAAATGCATTAAACAACCAAGAGATCATCATATCTCCTTGTCTTAAGACTAGAATTGGCACCTAGTATCCTTCAGAAGCTCTGGATTATAACTATCATAATCCTCATTGACCATATTAACAGGCATCTGATGGAAATTGTTTTAGATTTATAGCCTTTCCTTCAGAAGGCCCAGCTGAGATACATAGCACTCTCTTCCTCACCATCACCACTACCACCCCCTTCAAAATAACAAACTTGTGCTACTTTTGGCTGGAAATTATTAACCCAGTGAACTTCTATGGCTAAGGGTAGACTTGAGCTTGTGATTTCTGAGCATGAAGTTGAATGTATAGCATGAGGAGGATACCAAATTATGATTATTAAAGATCTAAGTACCCACCCTCTTTCCTGCCTGTTCATATTCTTTCAAGACTAAGTTTGTATGGCAAGGATATGCTGAGCCAGTGGATATCCAGTGGTTCAGATTTGAATTCTACAGTTATAATAATCATAACTTTTTTTCTGAAGCAATTGATATATCTATCTGAATGGTTTTTGTCATTACCCTAGCTTGCTGGTTTGATCTGTGGATTTATCATCAAGTTACACTCCAGTTTACGCGATCAAGGCTTCCTCCAGCAACTTCATACAGTGGGGCTAATTGTTCAGTATGAAGGACTTCTCAGTACATATAGTAAGTATGCAATTCAGATAACTCTATTCATATCCCAGAACATCCCCCTGATAGAGAGATGAAGCAGGAGAAGGGATACCTAGAGCACCGCTGGAGGGCCACAAGTAGCGAATCTGATTGAACATGAGTTAGGGCCTACCTCATTGTAGTAAGGGTGGGGAAATGTTTGTATTTCTTTGCCTTTATTGCATCTGCAGATAGCCATCCAGCAGCCTCATGTAGAGTGACCCATTCTCTCCTGGGTGGGAGTGACCCTGGGGGTCACTTACAGGATTGCTGGGAAAATTATGCTAGGCATTTGATGGATAAAGTCCATCAGATCTGCTCTGAGTTGGACTCTGGTCTTGATGCAGGTCCTGTGGAGGTTACTGGGTCTGGGTCTTGTTCAATTATCTGAGGATGGTTGGATCTGTTAGGCCTGACAAAGTAGACAGGGTCCTCGGGGTGTGAGTGCAGCCACCTCTGTATTAAATCCATGTCTCTCCTGACTGATCAAAGCCTCCTGGGAAGAGACACATGGTTGGATTCTGGTGGTGATTAATTCCTCTTTGAGGGAGGAGGTGGTCCCAACATCTCTTAAGGAGGAAGTGTTTCACGCCCTCCTCAAGGGGCCATGGCTAGACCCCACCATTCTGCACAATTTTCGTCCACTTTCCAACCTTCCCTTGTAAAGGAGGTGGTTGTATTGCAGCTTCAGAGGACTCTGGAAGAAGCTGATCATCTGGATCTGTCAGCCCTTTGAGGTAGACCAGACCTGGAAACCCTAATATCAACCTTGCAAGTCTGAAAGTGCCTGAAAGGCTGTGGGAGCTTGGATGAGGCACAACAGGCTTCAGTTCAACCCAAGCAATATCAAGTGGCTCAGGGTTTTTGGGCTGCTTAGTTCCAGGAAGCTTCCATCTTTGGTTTTGGATGGGGTGTGCAATCTGGGGATTCTCCTGGATTCATGGCTCCTTCTCAAGGAGCAGGTGTAGTCATGACTGGGAGGACCTTTGCTCAACTTCAGGTTGTGCATCATTTGCAGCTGTTCCTGGACCAAGGGGGGCTGCTCATGGTCACTAATGTCCTTATGACCTCCAGACTGGACTATTACAATGTGCTCTACATGGGGCTGCCTTTGAAACTATTCAGAAGCTTCAACTGGTGCCAAATGCAGTGGTGTGGGCAGTTACCGGTGCAGGTTACTCGGCACATGTGACACCACTGCTCCACAAGGTGCATTGGCTTCCAGTGTGCTTCCAGGTGCAATTCAAGGTGTTGGTGGTCACCTTTAAAGCCCTTCATGGCTTGAGACTGGACTACTTATTTCTCCCCAATTGTCCCTACCCATCCTACCCAATCCAGCAGGAGGAGCAGGCTGTGGGTACCATCAATTAAGGAGTGTCAGCTGGCAGGGCCCAGAAGGAGTCTTTTCTGCAGTGGCATCTGCCCTTTGGAACATCATCCCCCCTGAGATTAGATTGTCCCTGGCCTTGTTGGCCTTCCATAAGACCTTGAAAACTTGGTTTTGTGCCCAAGCCTAGGGCCCTGGGTGTGTGGTAGAGATTCACTATCACCACTACTGTTGTCATTCTATTGATTCCTCTGTCAACAATATTGAACAAGCCAGGCCGTGGCTATCAAGCATCAAAAACATCTGCCAGGCTATCCCACCTCCTTTACATGGATGATCAGAAGATGTATGGAAAAACACCATCTGAAATAGAATCGCTGCTCAACACTGTCTGAATATACAGCCA